TTATTTGAGTATCTATTCATTTACAGACACGTTACTGGTTTGGTACAGCTGAAGTGAGTGCAGGACATCTTCCCCTTCTCCCACTACATAATTATTCCTCTCTGTTTTCTTCCTTTATTTTTCAACCCTTATCATACCTGGTAGCTACTTTCCAGATAGGTGAACAATGTTATATAATGCTAAAGTTACATGACTATATGAATAGAAACATAGAATGTGACGGCAGATAAGAACCATTCGGCCCATCTAGTCTGCCCAATTTTCTAAATACTTTCATTAGTCCCTAGCCTTACCTTATAGTTAGGATAGCCTTATGCCTATCCCACGCATGCTTAAACTCCTTTACTGTGTTAACCTCTACCACTTCAGCTGTAAGGCTATTCCATGCATCCACTACCCTCTCAGTAAAGTAATACTTCCTGATATTATTTTAAAACCTTTGTCCCTCTAATTTAAGACTATGTCCTCTTGTTGTGGTAGTTTTTCTTCTTTTAAATATAGTCTCCTCCTTTACTGTGTTGATTCCCTTTATATATTTAAATGTATCTATCATATCCCCCCTGTCTCGTCTTTCCTCCAAGCTATATATGTTAAGATCCTTTAAACTTTCCTGGTAAGTTTTGTCCCGCAATCCATGAACCTGTTTAGTAGCCCTTCTCTGAACCCTCTCTAAAGTATCAATATCCTTCTGAAGATACGGTCTCCAGTACTGTGTACAATACTCCAAGTGAAGTCTCACCAGTGTTCTGTACAATGGCATGGGCACTTCCCTCTTTCTACTGCTAATACCTCTCTCTATACAACCAAGCATTCTGCTAGCATTTCCTGCTGCTCTATTATATTGTCTGCCTACCTTTAAGTCATCACAAATAATCACCCCTAAATCCCTTTCCTCATATGTTGAGGTTCGGACTCTATCAAATATTCTGTACTCTGCCCTTGGGTTTTTACGTCCAAGATGCATTATCTTGCACTTATCCACATTAAATGTCAGTTGCCACAATTCTGACCATTTTTCTAGTTTACCTAAATCATTTGCCATTTGGCTTATCCCTCCTGGAACATCAACCCTGTTACATATCTTAGTATCATCAGCAAAAAGACATACCTTACCATCAAGACCTTCTGCAATATCACTAATAAAAATATTAAAGAGAATGGGTCCAAGTACAGATCTCTGAGTCCAAGCTTTGAATATATTCCATTAACTACAACCCTCTGTTGCCTGTCACTCAGCCACTGCCTTACCCATTCAACAATATTGGAATCCAAACTTAAAGATTGCAGTTTATTGATAAGCCTTCTATGTGCAACAGTGTCAAAAGCCTTACTGAAATCTAGGTAAGCAATGTCTACTGCACCACCCTGATCTATAATTTTAGTTACCCAATCAAAAAAATCAATAAGATTAGTTTGGCATGATCTCCCTGAAGTAAACCCATGTTGTCTCTGATCTTGAAATCCATGTGTTTTTAGATGTTCAACAATCCTATCCTTTAACATGGTTTCCATCACTTTCCCCACTACTGAAGTAAGGTTTACTGGCCTATAGTTGCCCGACTCCTCCCTATTACCTTTCTTGTAAATGGGCACAACATTCGCTAACTTCCAATCTTCTGGGACTACTCCTATTAACAATGATTGGTTAAATAAATCTGTTAATGGTTTTGCTAGTATACCACTAAGCTCTTTTAATAGCTTTGGGTGTATTCCATCAGGTCCCATTGACTTATTTGTCTTTACTTTTGACAGCTGAAATAGAACCTCTTCCTCTGTAAACTCACGTGTAATAAATGACTCATTTATCCTTTTTCTTAACTGAGGTCCCTTACCTTCATTTTCATCTGTAAATACAGAACAAAATTATTAATTGAGGCAATCAGCTAGACCTTTATCCTCTTCTACATACCTTCCTTCTTTTGTTTTTAATCTAACTAATCCTTGTTTTACTTTTCTTTTCTCATATATGTATCTAAAAAATGTTTATCCCCTTTTTTTTACTGACTGCTATTTTCTCTTGTGTGTGTGATTTGGAAGCTCTTATAACTTGCTTAGCCTCTTTCTGCCTAATCTTATATATCATTTTGTCTTCCTCACTCTGTTTTTTTTTTTTTTTTTATAATTCCTAAATGCTAACTTTTTGTTTTTAACTATTTTGGCCACATCTGTGGAGTACCACAGTGGTTTCTTGAATTTTTTGCTTTTACTGACAAGCCTAATGCAATTTTCTGTTGCCTTCAATAGTGCAACTTTTAAATAATCCCATTTCTCTTGGACTCCATTTAAATTGCTCCAGTCTGATAATGACTCCTCTACACATATTCTAATTTTAGAAAAGTCTGTTTTTCTAAAGTCTAAAACTTTTGTTTTTGTGTGGTGTGACTTATATTAAACCACACTAACTGATGATCACTGGATCCTAAACTTTCACCTACAGTAATATCTGATACCAAATCTCCATTTGTTAACACTAAATCTAGTATGGCCTCTTTACGAGTTGGCTCCTCAACAACTTGTTTTAGACACAATCCCAGTAGGGAGTTTAGAATATGTGTGTTCCTGACACAAGTAGCTAATTTTGTTTTCCAATTTACATCAGGAAGATTAAAGTCACCCATGATGATAACTTCCCCCTTCATTGTCATTTTAGCCATTTCCTCAAATAGTAGATTATCTAACTCTTCAATTTGTCCTGGGGGCCTATAAATCACACCTACACGAGTTACTGTGTGATTACCAAATTCTAACGTAACCCAAACGGACTCTATGTTCGCCTCACTAACTTTTATTAGGCTAGATTTTATGCTATCCTTCACATACAAGGTCACCCATCCCCCTTTCTTGCCTTCCCTATCTTTTCTATATAAAGAGTACCCTGGTATTGCTATGTCCCAGTCATTTTTCTCATAACATGTCTCAGTAACAGCAACTAAATCTACACTATCAGTTGCCATTATTGCCTCAAGTTCATGGATCTTAATCCCTAAACTGCGAGCATTTGTAGACATGACTCATCTTATTTTTTAACACACTTGCTACAGGCACCTTCTGTCCTTGTTTTGGGGGACAATTGGATTGATGTTTTATCACCCTTTTGCCCCCCCCCCCCCTAGTTTAAATACATCCTTGCAAAACATCTGAACTGCTCACTGAGAACATTTGTTTCCTTTTGAGAAAGATGCAAACCATCTTTTTTGTACAGGTTATTTCCATTCCAAACAGAGCTACCATGAGAAATAAAGCCAAATCCTTGCTCCCGACACCATTCACCAAGCCACAAATTAAAGTCCCTAATACGCATCCACCTGTCGTTCTGAGTGTTATGCACAGGCAGAACTTCAGAGAATGACAGTGTGGAAGCAACCTGCCGTATATCATTGGCAAAAACACTAAATCTTCCTTAACCTCTGAAACCTCATTGCAAGCCAAGTCATTTGTCCCTAGATGGACAAGTACATCCAATTCCTCTTCCTGCTTTGCTTGCTTAACAATATTACAGATACGTCTTCTGTCTTTGTGAGCAGTAGCTCCGGGAAGACACCTCACAAGACCACCATTGTCCATCTCCACACCTCTTATAATGGAATCCCCCAACAACAACTGCTCCAAGCCGGTCTCCACAACACCACTAGCCTCAGTGCCTCTCTCCACAACACCATTACACTCTGAAAGTGCAGAAAATGAATTATGAAGAGCAACAGACTGTGCAAAATGCCTTTTATCCACAACTCTAAGACTACCAGATCCTACAGTAATCCATCTGCCATTCCTAGTACGTCTCTGCGGTAGTGGCTTTTCTGAAGTTCCAGTCTGAGTTTGTTCACCAGATAATTTACAAATCTCAGACTTCAAAAATACAATCTCCTGCCGTAAAATAGAGAACTGTCTACAGATTAGACAACCAAACCTCCAAAAAGTGGAACGTGAAACAAATGCATAGCAACTATTACATTGAACTAAGTCTGCCATTCCAATGAGGAGAATAATTTTAATTAAACCAATCTTAACTTTTTATTTATCCTCCTGAATACCTCAGATTATCTCCAGAATATCTCCAACTACACACTTAGAAGCAACACTTAGATGAAGCAGCCAAGCTAATGACAACAACCCTTATATAACTCCTAAAATCACCACCCACTAGGAATGTTTAACACCTCTGCTTATTTGCAAACAATAGCTAATTTAAACAGCAATCAATAGCAAGTAATCTAATCAAATCTAATCAAATGCCTTATAACAGGAATTCAAACCTTGTGCAATCAGTAACCGTTTCCTACAGATGAATCTTAACTGTAACAGTAGAAAAGAAAGCTCTTAGCACAACTCTTAGACAGTTGAAGCTTCTGTAAAACTCTCCAGAATATCTCCAACTACACACTTAGAAGCAACACTTAGATGAAGCAACCAAGCTATATAAGCTTCAATAAAAAATTTTCGATAACATTTTTACAAAAGCAATTTTTTTTGTGAAATAAAAATGTCTAAGTGAGGGTAATTAGCAGAAACACTTAACACTGCAACTAAAGGATTAAAAAAACCTTTAGTCCAGTGTTTCCCAACCCAGTCCTCAAGGCACACCTACCAGTCCAGGATTTAGGGATTACCCAGTTGTGTCTAAGGTGTTTTTACAAAGAAGAAAAAAAAACACCTTAGACACAACTGGGTAATCCCTAAATCCTGGACTTGAGGACTGGGTTGGGAAACACTGCTTTAGTCACGTACCCGATTACAGCACCGATGTCCTTTGGCGCACTGCCTCCTCCGTCATCCGAAAGGGGGGGGGCTAGTGCGTTGGTGAGCACATTTAGTGCTCCCCATAGGAAAAAGAATATGGGGTATCCAGCTTTTCTTTCTCTGGCACTGTGGGTGCCCAAAGCAAGTTCTTGTAGAGGATAGTGGAGCACCATCACTGCACTCACTCAGAGGCTTTCTTTCATAGTTCAATGTCAGCGAGTGTCACTATCTGTGCCTGCCAAAATGGCATACGCATCTTTCACCTTATACTAGTGTGCCATTTGCCTAACACACAGTACCCACACCCACCCACAGAAAACCTTACCCAAAAATGTAAATAAAATGACTGTTCTAAGACCAAACAGCTGTGACCACATCTAAAAGGGGCTTTTAAAAAAAAAAAAAAAAAAAAAAGCAGAAATACAGGTGATACGCGAAAAATTTGAATATCGTGCAAAAGTTCATTTATTTCAGTAATGCAACGTAGAAGGGGAAACTAATATAGGAGATAGACGCATTACATGCAAAGCAAGATAGTTCAAGCTGTGATTTGTATTAAGTGCGATGATTATGGCTTACAGCTCATGGAAACCCCTAATTCACAATCCCAGTAAATTAGAATATTGTGAAAAGGTGCAACATTCTAGGCTCACAGTGTTCCACTCTAATCAGCCAAGTAAAACATAATACCTGCAAAGGGTTTCTGAGCCTTTAAATTGTCTCTCAGTCTGGTTCAGTAGGAATCACAATCATGGGGAAGGCTGCTGACCTGACAGTTGTGCAGAAAACCATCACTTACACCCTCCATAAGGAGAGAAAGCCTCAAAAGGTAATTGTGAAGGAAGTTACATCTTCCCAAAGTGCTGTATTAAAGCACATTAATAGAAAGTTATGTGAAAGGGAAAAGTGTGGAAGAAAAAGGTGCACAAGCAGCAGGGATGACTACAGCCTGGAGAGGATTGTCATGAAGAGGCCATTCAAAAGTATTGGGGACTTTCACAAGGAGTGGACTGAGGCTGGAGTCAGTGCATCAAGAGCCACCACACAGAGACTGATCCTGGACATGGGCTTCAGATGTCGTATTCCTCTTGTCAAGCTGCTCCTCAACAAACGTCAGAAGCGTCTTACCTGGGCTAAAGAAAAACAGACCTGGTCTGTTGCTCAGTGGTCCAAAGTCCTCTTTTTGGATTACAGCAACTTTTGCATCTAATTTGGAAACCAAGGATCCAGAGTCTGGAGGAAGAATGGAGAGGCGCACACTGCAAGGTGCTTGAAGTGCAGTGTGAAGTTTCCACAGTCTGTGTTGATTTGGGGAGCCATGTCATCTGCTGGTGTTGGTCCACCGTGCTTCATTAAGTCCAGGGTCAACGCAGCTGTCTACCAGGAGATTTTGAAGCACTTCATGCTTCCTTCCACAAACAAGCTTTATGGGGATGCAGACTTCGTTTTCCAGCAGGACTTGGCACCTGCCCGCACTGCCAAAAGCACCAAAGCCTGGTTCAATGACTGTGGGATTACTGTGCTTGATTGGCCAGCAAACTCACCTGACCTGAACCCCATAGAGAATCTATGGGGCATTGCCAAGAGAAAGATGAGACCGAACAATGCAGAAGAGCTCAAGGCCGCTATTAAAGCATCCCGGTCTTCCATGACACCTCAGCAGTGCCACAGGCTAATAGCTTCCATGCCACGCTGCATTGAGGCAGTAATTGCTGCAAAAGGGGCCCAAACTAAGTACTGAGTCCATATGCATGCTTATACATTTCAGAAGTCCGATATTGTTCTATGTATACTCTTTTTTTAATTGATTGCATGTAAAAGGGTAAAACAAAAAAAATATATATATTTTGACCATAAAAAAAACACAATAAAAATAATAGTACCAAAGTACTAATCACCCTAATCATACTGATCACAGGGTCAGCACTAAGGGTTAAAAAAAAAAAAAAAAATGTTAACACAGTAATGGTCAATGATCTCTAGACCTCTCGCTTCAGCTTAAAGTGAGGAGAAGCCAGGTATAGAGAATGTGTCAACATTACACATCATTTGATCACTGCAATCACTGTTACAATGTCACCGCAATCTTTGTCTGCATGAGGACAGCCTACACTGCCAGACCCCGATTGGCAGCGTGGTACAGTAGGCGGGTCGCACATGCTATGCCACTCTAACAGTTAAATGCCCTCCTACTGTAGAACGGCATAGCACGCCCCAATGTAGTGAATGATTTCAGGACCAATAATATTGCAGTCCTGGTAAGTTAACTTTAGGTGACACCAACCCACAGAAAACTGTATTTAAAAAATGAGTCCCACAAAACCTAAAGATGACAGAGGTTATGATATAGGGAGAACTATAGCTATGTGAAATTTAAGTGTATACAGAATTGAGAACTTTATAAAGCAAATACCTAAAAATATAAGTAATGTGCTAAGTGAAATGATCATTCACTATAATAGTCAGAAGTGCTCAATATATAGAGAATATATACAGAGGTAGTATTGCTTGGAGCTCAGCAATAAAAAGGAGGGTGACTGCTTGACCATTTGACACTTGACCAAAAGTGGAATGATTAATTCAGCAGGTGAATTACATTTCCTGCTCAAAATACATAAATAACCTACCCAGTAAATTAGAGATTTTGCTTCACCTGAAAGGGGGTTGACCCAATGGGTAGCAAAGCCATACATTCTAAACAAGATAAAGAGTTTTCATGACACTGTTTGTGTATTTAATTCACAGACACAAAGTTATATAGGATAATGGATGGGACTTTATCACATTTTGAGACTACTCTTCGGTGAGACAAATTTTTGTGGTTTTTGAAGTTTTTTTTTTTTTTTGCTTTAAGCTACTAAGCACCCAGTACTGTAAGATCTGTTAATACTTACACGTTTTGTAGGATTCCCATATCACTTATTTACAATGTGCAATTAGAGACAAAATACAGGTATTTTTTTTATACAGTGGTTTTTATTATAAAATGGCACAAAACCTTCAATTATGGTATAAGACTACACAAATAAGAGATGCCCTATAGCAGAGGTAAATGAGCTTAATAGCTGCAAATCACATGGCTCAAAAACCACTGCAGTAACAAATATCGCATGTTTTTCAGTTTTTTACAAAAATGAAAGCAAGAGCAAACTTTTTATTTTTTTTAAACATCATCTTAGCAAACATAGGTTGTGATCATTCCCCACAGTAGTCTGCTGTTCAGCCAAACATTAAAGCATACAAGTAGTGAGAAAAAAAAAAAAAAAAAAAAGGCAATAGGCTTAATAGTATTGCTTTCATCATTGACAAATGGGATAAGTAGGGTGCGGGGCAGGCTTTTATAATACATACAGTTAGCCTAACCGCAATTTGCATACTTAATAGCAGCATTATTTTCACAGAATCATCTGCAACTACATGTACAGAAAGAAAGCAAACTCTATAATGGCAGTTACTGCCTATTTCTCAATCAATATGGGCTCAGAATAAGTGTTTCAACTGGTTTAAACTTATGGACTGACAAACAAAACATTTGGATGAGGCTGGTGAAAGGGGATAAAACATAAATGGCAAAATCCCTACACAGCTCTCATACTCCTTACTCATTTTAAGGTCTGGTCTCTAACGTGTGTGTCAACTTGGCTCCTCATTTCTGTCACTTATTTTCTCCAGTTCACAAATTGTGTTCACAGAGGATCAAGTCTAACGGATGGTCAAACCCTGGCAACCAAGATTTTGCACGCTTCCAATGATGCGCAGCCAGCCTCTAGACTGCCTGAGCATCTTTAGAAATTAGTTCAAATATTGTGGGTACCAACATTTGCCATTGTGGTCATAAAAAATTAAGTGTTCACCAACCCCTCTTTAAAATGGACTACAGAAATAGAAATGTCACTATATTGTAAACACACATGAAGGGAAATCTAATGCAACAGTTCAACAGAACACAACCATGATGCTTAAAGAGATTATCGCCTGTATCTGCCTCTATCCCCCCGATCAGTACGATCTCCTCGATCGCCTCGGTCCCTATCTCGCATCCGCTCTCTCTCACGATCTCTGTCACGATCACGGTCACGGCCTCTGTCTCTGCGGTTGTCCCTAGGGCGATCTCGTTCACGTTCTCTCTCCCTCTCTCTTGGCCGGCTTCGTCGACCACTGACAACAGCTTGTGTTCGCCTGAGGAAATCATCTACTCTCATATCATAGTCGTGCTGAAAAATAAAATTATTGCAGGTAAGACTAATAGTCTCAGTCTCTTACCTCACAACGTATGCCATTAATACTTTTACAGTATGTAAAGAAAGTGAAATATGGTGCAAAAGTGGTCCCCCTGTAACTGTATCCTTAAATTCGACTGCTTTAAACTCCCAACAATTTGTCAATTTCACTGAATCTATAAGATTGTTATTAATATCAGAGAAAAGACAAATTTTACTTCCTACTTCACTGTCCCATATAATGACCATGCCTTACAACATAACACAGTGGCATCATGTGTGGCTGGCAACTAAGGAGAATAATGAGCACAGCCTCATTCACAAAACTAAATAAACTTAAAGGGACTCTCCAGTGACAGGAAAACAAACCCATTTTCCTGGCACTAGAGAATCCTACAGTGCCCCACTCCCTCCTAGGTCAGGCTCTACCCACGCTCCTTTCCCGCTGACGTCTGCCAGCAGGGGGAGACCTAATGCGCATGCATTAGACCTCCCCATGGGAAAGCATTATTCAATGCTTTCCTTTGGGGATTACAGAAACGCTGGAGGACCTCATGCATAGCGTGAGGACGTCCAGGGTTTAAGCGACCAAAAAGTAGTTTAAGAACCCGCAAGTAATTATTGCAGTTTATAAAAACAGCAAAAAATACACTTGCAGGGTTAAGGGTGATGGGAGCTGGCAGCCATACCACTCCAATGGGCAGAAGTGGTCTGGGTGCCTGGACGGTCCCTTTAAAGCATAGTATTCGATAATCCTAGCCTGTGGATATTTTTAATACATTATATCACCGAGGCGTTTAACCTTACATAGAGAAGTGCCACCAAGCAGGGCAAATCGAAGCAGACCATGCAAATCCCCCTCACCCCCCACCCATCCAAAAAATAAAAAAAAATTCTACGAACTGTGTTGGGGGAACCTCTTGGTGCTGGATTACATGTAAGATATACTTTCATATTTATTTTACTATTTTAAACAGGCAATGGGGAGGAAGGTGCACAAATGGGGTACAGAACACCAACCAACCCTTTAGCATTATAAATACAGTCTAATGGACATTCCTTTACGTAGAGTACAAATGTGAAAACTCTACAAATGCACTTATGAGATTTACAATTCTTTGTTTACTTACAACCCGTTTGTCCCGATATCTTGTATCGTGTGGAACTGGATGGTGGCCTGAGAACTGTGGGTGTGCCTGAGGTGGAGGCGCATGATGCTGATAATAAGGATGGTGTTGAGGTTGTTGCATTGTTGGGTATGGCGGCTAGAATAAAAAAAATAAAAAAAAAGGAATAATTTTTAAATTAGTATACCATGAAAATAAATTGCACAAAACATTGTTTGGAAAGAAAAACAAGGCATTGTTAAAGGAACTCCAGCCCCCTTAAAAAGGAATTAAAACACCTTATTTCCAGCGCTGCGCAGGTCCGACACTGGCCCCGCCCTCCATCCGCCTTCTTGATTCAATGCATCTGAGGAAAATTCAGCGTCCCCATGCAGAGCGTGGAGACTCTGAACGGCAGTGCTGTCTACTGCGCAGCACTGAGCCACTAAGCACCTCCAGTGGCCAGCTGAGGAGTGACCATTTGGAGGTGTCCCAAGGGGCAATGTAAACACTGCCCTTTTCTCTGAAAAGGCAGTGTTTGCATGAAAATGATTATACTCACCAGAACAACTACATTAAGCTGTAGTTGTTGTGGTGTCTATAGTGTCCCTTTAATGCAATACTGATAAGTTATTCCTATTCAACACCAACAACTGAACGCCTACTAATCTCATTTTTATATTAACTATTAAACTCTCATCTATAAAAACACCACTACATTACAGGTAATTAATTGAGCAATAGGTAATTCCCCCACCCCTAAATATATGCATAGAAACATTTTTAGCTAAAATAGAAATGTTTAATACACTTTTAATGGCCTGATAAAATAAAAGACTTAACAAAACAAGAATATTTATAAAGTGTTTATCAGAAAAAAATTACCAACCTCTCCCCCCCTCCAAAAAAAACCCCACAGATTGTGCAACGTTACAAGAGGATCATGTAATACAGCAGATTTTATTACAGGTGGAGGTTTGCTTTATATAGGCAGTAGGATTTACGTATGTATAGATGGAAACTGTTGCTCTACCCAAGATGCAGATATATGGAGGTTTCCTAGATATATTTTTCAGTGGTCAAGGCATACATTAAAATCTTAGGTCAGGAAGCATTTTGGAATAGGCAACAATGGTGGTTTTGCAGAGCAGTTCCACAAATTTCTTCATACTTCGAAGTCTGTCAATTTCAATATACAAGATTCAAACCAAAGACTTCAATCATTTCACCCCTTAAAGGTCCAAGGCTTGAGATGTGAAATTTATGACCTAGGACATTTTGGCACTTTTGCCATATGTTCATTCTAAACATAGCAATTTTAAGGGATAAATAGCAGGCTTTTCTTTCAAGAAAAATATATATTTTTTATATATATATATATATATATATATATATATATATATATATATATATATATATATATATATATATATATATATATATATATATATCTATATCTATCTCAAAATGGAAAATATAACCCCCATAATTTTACAATTAAAGGGTCACTATAATCCCCAGAATAACTACAGCTTAATGTAGTTGTTCTGGCGAGTATAGCATGTCCCTCCAGGCATTGTAATGCAAACCCATTGTAATGCCTTTCTAGAGAAAAAAAAAAAAAAAGGCAGTGTTTACATTACAGCCTATGGACCCCTCCAGGGGCAATTAGACAGCCACTAAAGGCCCTTCCTGGGTCAGTGTTGTGCAATGTCTCCACACTCTGTATAGACACACTAAACACTCCCAAAGAGATGCACTGATTCAATGCATCTCTTTGAGGAGATATTGATTGTCGAGCGCATCAATTGGCTCTGCCCCCCACCCTGCCTCCTTGGCTGAGATAATCAAAATTGACAATTTCACCCAAGGAAGTGTATAAGGGACAGTTTCAATCCCCTTTAATCCCTTAAGGACACATGACATGTGTGACAGGTCATGATTCCCTTTTATTCCAGAAGTTTGGTCCTTAAAGGGTTAAGGAGGGGGGAGAGAAAGAGTAGCACCTAAAGAGTGTTTTTAACACTATAAGGTCAGGAAAACATTTATGCATTACTGGCCCTATAGCATTCCTTTAATAATTTCTACACAGTAAGTGCAATTAAAGAAAACAAACTTAAAATAGTTAGTCCTGATATGTCCAATGTGTCTTATTTCAATTAAGTTTTAGAAATTATAAAACATAATCGCAAGGGATCAATTATGGTTAATAAAGCGAAAAAGTTCCAAAATTTGACGTCCTGAGAACTTTTAGTCACAGAATCCAAAACCAACACAAATATAAAGAATATATTTGTATGAAGTACATCCCCCAGGTTATTTAACCAAGTGCTAGGGATCGACCGATATTGATTTTTTAGAGCAGATACCAATACCGATAATCTGCGAACTTTCAGGCCGATAGCCGATATTCTGTACATTTACCATTTTGAAAAAATTAATTTCTAAAGGTAAATGCACAAAATATACTTGCCACATGTAGAGGATGCAGTGTGTTTAGACAGGGGAGCTGTTTGTGTTTGTCTGGTGGATGCAGTGTGTATTTGTATCGTGCGTATATAATGAATATAGGGTGTGTTTGTGCAGTGTGTGTGTATAGTGAATGTAGTGTGTGTGTTTGTATAGTGTGTGTATAATAAATGCAGAGTGTGTGTGTTTGTATAGTGTGTGTATATAATTAATGCAGAGTGTGTTTGTGTAGTGTGTGTGTATTTCTGAAGGGATGTAATTTGTGTAAATGGGGGGGCATTTTTTATTTTAATAAAAAAAAAAAATGTTTTTATAGGTTTGTTTTTTTGTCCCCCTCCCTGCTTGTTACCTGTGCAGGGAGTGGGGCTATGGCATCCCCTGGTGGTCCAGTGGCTTGTACTAAGCAGTGGGGTCCGCAGAAGCTCTTACTTACCTTCCCAGCAGCTCCTCCAGCTCCCCTGTGTAAATCGCACGGGACTCGCAAGATTTACACAGTGGAGCTGCTGGGAAGGTAAGTAAGAGCTTCTGCGCCTTACCTTCCCAGCAGCTCCTCCAGCTCCCCTGTGTAAATCGCACGGGACTCGCAAGATTTACACAGTGGAGCTGCTGGGAAGGTAAGTAAGAGCTTACACCCCGCCAGGCTTGTAATAAGCCCGGCTGACCTGGTATGTATTATCGTCAATATCGATATCTTTATTGGCCGATACCGATATTGCAGAAAATACCGAATATCGGCAAAACCGATAATTGGTCAAATTTGAAACTTCATTTACCCATTTTATTGATTAACTTAATTACTTAATGTCTTTTTCACACGTATTATTTTGGGGACATTTACATCTCCAGATCTGTATTCTGCCATTGTTCTCGTGTATAATAATATCAGACATGTATAACAGCTTCTAATTCGCCTCCTACAGGTATTAGCAGAGGTTTTCCCAGCTCTGTACCGTGTAAATGCTGCAGCTGCTGCACACAGAGGGCAGACGGGCATACATGGAGACATGGCCAGGGCTTTCTCAGACTCTGAATCACTCATCTGTCAGTCTGGGGCCACTAATTGTGGCTCCAGCTTTCAACAGATACCTGGTGTTTCCTGACTTTAGCAGTGCCATGCCAGGTGGAGGCTCAGAATCATCGCATCTTAGAGTGATCGCTCAGCCAGGGTGTTTTAAAGGCTATGGTGCAGCCCTCGGTTTGGACATGGCTCATCTGCCAATCAATTATCCAAAGATATCTGGGGTTTCATGGTGCCAGCAGATATTTAATGCTGCTGGTACTTTTATTGCAGGACGCTGTATGCTTTCAATGGGAGTTAAAGCCCTACAGTGTATGACGGCATAGATCATGTCGTTAAGTGGTTAAAATTGTAAAGGTGTTTAAAAAACAAAAAAAGCATACCATTCCTTGCCATGGTGGAGGTGGTCCCATGTTTTGAAGCTCCCTTACATAATCATTGTAAGACTGGAAAACAAAAGAAAAAAATTTAAATTACACAAAAAATATAAGATCGCTTTTAATTTTTTTTCTTCTACAATTGTTTGAAAATTTATTAGTGAAATGAAAAAAAAAATTTTGTTTAAAATACATTGGCGTTTCAACATGATCACATAAATATTCAAATATAGCAACAATTATGTTGCCTCTTGCAAAGAAAAACTGGACTAACAAGACCTGGCAGTTTGTATCATTTTGTCTATACGTCATTTTCTATAAATTCACAGTGTACACTTCTGCATTTCATCAATTAAAAGTGTGCCCCCACTGTTGAGTTGTTACAATGTATGTCTGCTGTACAACTGCTTTCAAACTTCATACCAGAATCAGAGCATGAATATTGTATAAAGTGATGACTTCCACTAGACTAGACCTATTGTACATCTTTTTTTTGTTTTCTTTTAATAATCAATTTTTTTTTGTTGTGGTTTCATTTCTTGCATTTAGTTAAATAATATCATAAAGAATTAATATAATACAAACACACTGCATTCATAAAATGTGTTACAACTTATTTCACCAATTAAAGAAAAAATAATTATATTTTGGATGTATACGTTTGTACGGTTATCCCCCAATATTAATGTTCATTATATAGTAAATAACTTATTTAATATACATATGGAAAACAATTCATTGAAAACTATTTGAAAAGAACCTGAACTGGAAAGCACCGCTTAACTGAGCTAGAGACTAAGCTTGGTCACAGGTCTGTTCTTAACAGCTGGTCATCTATGTATTGTGTTTTGTGATGTCACTCGAGTCATCTAATTTATAGGTATTTACACATGCTCTCTCCTCATAGTACCTTTCATGCACACACAATTGTTCCCTTTTAGATAATGAATATAGCCACCCTCTAATCACAAGATTGCAAGAGTCCTAGTGTTTAATATATGCAGCTAACATAAACATCAGTAAAAAGGCCAATAGTTGAGATGGAAGTAGTTATCCAACATTGGCCTTGATTTATTAAAGGAATACTGTAAGCACCCAGACCACTTCAGCTCATTGAAGTAGTCTGGGTGCAGTGTCCCTTTTGCACTTTGTACTGCAATGTAAAACATTGCAGCTCTAAGTCTGCCCTTAGTGGCTGTCTGATAGACCGCCTTTGGTCCGGTATCGGAAGCTGGACTTCCTTGCGCTCTGCATGAAGAAATCCAGTGTCAGATTTTTCCACATAGGAAAGCATTTATTCAATGCTTTCCTATGGGCAGGTCTAATGAGCGCACAGCATTTGCCGCGCATGCATATTAGACCCTGCTTGTTACGACACAGAGGAGGGGGCGGATCGCCGACCCAGCGACAGTTTATTTACCAGGGAGGGGAGAGCTATTTGTATTCCTGGCACTTATAGTATCCCTTTAAGTAAGTTTTCATAAAGCTCCACTACAGTTAGAAATCCTTTCCAAATGCTTTATCTACAAAGGTGACAGAATTTAACGGTGGCTTATGCTGATAAAGCATTTGGAAAGTTTTTCTAACAGTGTTGAATCATTTGGAAAATTTATTAAAAGAACACTATAGGGTCAGGAACACAAACATGTATTCCTGACCCTAAAGTGTTAAACCCACCATTTGAGTGGCTGCCCCCCCCCCCCCAAAGTTAAAAAAAACTCACCTAATTTCCAGCGCTGCATGGGTCCCGCCCTCAATTCGCCTCCTTGATTACATCAGAATTGCTTTTTTTTAGTCAATCCAATGACTTCCCTTAGGGAACGCTTTGGATTGGCTAAAATTATCAAGGAGGGCCAAGCAACATTTTGGCCAATCAGCATTTCTTCATAGAGATGCATTGATTCAATGCATATCTATGAGGAAAATTCAATGTCCCCATTCAGAGCATGGAGATGCTAAAGCGGCAGTGCGGTGCACTGTGCAGCACTGAGCCAGGAAGTATCTCCAGTGGCCATCTGAGGAGTGGCCACATGTAGGTATCCCTAGGGGCAATGTAAACACTGCCTTTTCTCTGAAAATGCAGTGTTTGCATCTAAATACCTGAAGGCAATGATTATACTCACCAGAACAACTACATTATGTTGTAGTGACTAGTGTCTTTAAATAAGGCCATCACTACTCAAAAATAAAAGATGTGATCATGAAAACAGAAAATACACACACACATAAAAATTACACACTTACCCCATTTAAAAATACGTCTCTGCGAACCCCAGTAAATCTACTGTAAAAAAAGGTTAAAGAAATAAATGTTTTAATATTCAAAACATTCTATTCATAAAAACACATACTAGAAAAATCATATTTACCGATCCACTTCTTGATATCGAGGATCCTTGACAAATCCTGCATTTATCAAAAGAAAATATATATAAAAAGCAGGTTGGTGTTTCATTTCCTGTACAAACTATGAAGTTTCATCGCTTAATATGTGACATGGGAATTCAAGTTGACATATGAAATGCAGCAGGCCAAAAACACAAATCCAGATTTTAGTCAATTATTCTCTAGTTAAGGCATCTCAAACAGTCTCCCTGATGTTACTGAACTACAATTCCATAATACCTTTTGCATTCAAATAAACTGGAGAGCTGGTGAAGGGCAGAGTTTGAGATCCCTGCTCTAATTAAATAAATGGCAAAAGGAAATTCAAACAAATCCCAATACAGCCACCCTTGGTATTCAAGAATTAAAGAAGCATTAATTCCATAACATGCAGGGGAGGCACAACTGGACAGTCATAATAACCTTTTTGAGGCCAGAAGTTTGTCTAGTGCCCTATTTTGCTATGCACGGAAAAGGTTTAGTTGTCAGCAGTGACTATGTTATGGGTGGCACATGATCAAGGGCCTGAAGTTTAAGGGGACACTATAGTCATCAAAACAATGTTAGCTTGTTTTTGCAACCCTAGTCACATCTCCCTGCAAGTGACTTACGGAGCCCTCCCTAACCACCACCCGTTAAGAGTCAGCTAATGTTTACACTTCCTTTGTTGCAAATTATGTTTAACCCCTTAAAACCAGAGGGCGTACTATTATGCCCCCCCCCCCCCGGCCATGTGAGAGTGAGGTCCTTGCGAGGATCTCACAGTCACATGGCCGAGTTAGCTGCCTGCTGCATTGCATTGTAATGACCGTTAGTCCCCCTGCTGGCTGAATTCAAATAAACAAGTTAAAATCAGTGTAAAAAAAAAAATAAAAAAAATAATAATAAAAAAAAATTATATATATATATATATACACACACACATACATACATACATACACCCCCCCCGGTGTATTTTAAAATATATTATCTCTCTCTCTATATCTATATTTATAGCAAAATACACGCAGAATGAAATATATATCTATATACATAAATACATAAATAAAAATATTTTAAAAAATTATATATACACATACACATTAATTCTACATAATTAGGTATTTTCATTACAATTAGCAGGACCTGCCTGACAACCCATGCCGAAAGTATAGGGAATTTAATTTGCCAGCAATATATTTAACCCTATAACTTTTCAAGACACCATAAAACCTGTACATGGGGGGTACTGTTTTACTCGGGAGACGTCGCTGAACACAGTTTTACACGTGAGACTTTGCTGAATACAAATTGCATTTGCAGTAAAAGCAAACAGTATTATGACATTGACAGTTAAAATGTCACGTAGAACAAAAAAAAAAAAAATCTTATTTCCTCCCATTTTTTTTTAATATTAAATTGTTTCATAGCTAAATATTTGATATTAAATGAAAGCCCTGTTTCCCCTGAATAAAATGATATATAAGTGTGGGTGCATTTAATATGAAAGAGGTGAATTACGGTTGGACAGACATGTAGCGTAAATGCCAGGTTTTGTTTTGTTCACAACGTGTACATTTGGCTCAGTCCTTAAGGGGTTAAATTAGAATTGTGTATCCCCTGCTCTGTTAATAGCTTGCTATACCCAGCAGGAACCTCCTGTATGTAATAAAAGTTAAATTTACAGAGCAGGAGATAAACTTATAAATTAAGTTACATCTAATTTAAAAGTGAAACCATTTTGTTTTTATGTAGGTCGTGTCAGTCACAGCCAGGGGAGATGTGGCTAGGGAGGCATAAACAGAATCAAAAGTGATTAAACTTCTAAATAGCAGAAAATTGAGCAGTGAGAATGCAGGGGCATGATCTATACACAAACACTCAAAAAAAGTTGTTTTGGCGACTATAGTGTCTCTTTAACAAACAACTGCTATAGTTTTCCCCTCAATGCTATAAAAGCTTTTAAACTCAAACAAAAATGCAATACACAAGAAATGTTAACTACTAAATTAGAGGGAAAAAAATCTGCTTTAATAAAGATATTAACCTGGCCGCTGATGAAAATCTGTGGGATAGTCAACTCTTGGTTTCTTTCGGTTGTTATGAATATCATAATCTTCAGGTCGACGCCTATACAAATTAAAATGTTAGAAATTAAATAGAAAACTAGGAGTTATTGGCAAGTACATACCTGCAATGGACAGCCTGAGGTGCCATCACCTTTAAGAAACCACCTGAAACCTGTTTTAGATGTTCAACCAAAAGGTAGTTACAGTTTCACTACATGATAGCCTTTTATGAACACGGTCTGCTAAAGAAACCAAACAATGCATCCCATGCCAGCAATTGCAAAACCACACGAACAATCTAAACCTGAATATTCCAACATAGACATAAACATTTATCTTTTACAATAATAGCCATGTCTTTAGAATATTGAAATCACACACAACAAAAGATCTTCTACAACTTGGAAGCACTTATTTGATGTTCTGTAAATTACATACATTAAAAAAAAATAATCTATGGCATATAAAAAAAATGAACTGTAGTAACAACAGCTGATGTTATGAGTTATTTGCTTTAAATTCAGCTATTAATGCTTCAAGATGTATTCTGCATACGAAAGTGAGATTCTTTTTTTGTCTTCCCATGAAGAAAAACAAAAAAAGTATTCTATACTACCATAGTAGAGCTTTTAAACAAATCAAACGTGGCACTTTTAAAAAGCAGATCTCATCTAATGGACCAAGTGATAAAGATACATAGGATTAATTAACAATGTTATAGAAGTGGCCCAAAATTATTTTCTCTGCAAAGTAAACCTCCTAAAAATATTCAAATTTCACCCTATGAGCAAGAAGCATTGCACATATAGCAAAAATAAAAAAAAAGCTGGTGTAAAGAGGGAACATACCGCTTTCTTGTAGAGTGCATTAACGACCGGTATATAATATAGCAACAGTTCATACAGTAGTCCACTAACGATTTTAAGCTGTAGGCCGCTTATATATAGGGCGGACCTCAGAAGGTGTAGTGCTGTTACAAGTATATTTTGCAGTCCATTGCAAAACTGGAGTAAAATTCCCTTGTTATTAGAGATTAGTGTGAAGGAAACCTTTTAGCTTACAACTTCTTTGAGCTCAGTCCATTTAAAGCAAAAAAATAAAAAGGGAAAAAAAAAAAAAATCAAAATAGGGAGGGGAGTCTGTCAGGTTTCCTCCTACCTAATCGGTGGTGTCCTTTCAAACGTTATAGGGACTCTGGAGTTGGCCGTCTACCTACCACCGAATAACCCAAAATGGAACCCCATCAAACCAACAGTCTTTAGTAGAAACCTTTAAGAATTATCTGTAAACAATTAGCCTATAAGAGGGAGGGTTGATTGGCTGAAGGGCTTTTAAACATCAGTTCTTTGAAAGCCTTCTCCAATTCTGAAACATGTTACACCCCCATTTTTTTTTTCTTGGTACATGGTGTTAAGTTCATAAAGCAGTGAAAAACCATGTCGATCCACTACAACATTTATAGTCCACAGGCACTGCCAGCATCTGGAAGGGATGTATAGACACAGCAACAGCCCCAACTTTCTGGTATGTTGCCGGGTCTCCGCGCAACTTGCTCCCTTTTCCACAGAACCTAAAACGGTTTCAGGAGCTCAGCAAGATGTATTCACTGTGGTATTACTTAGAGAACATTTTGCAATCTGCTTTAAACACATCATGGTGAAGCCATATGGAAATAGTCCCAACAAGGCTCCTCTTGAAAACAAAGCAACATTTTTAAAGCTTTATCTCCCCAAGAGGAGGTGGCATCTTCTGCAACACCATTATTGATTCTTTATAAAAGTCCCATATCTGATTAGAGTTATCCAGGGTAATACCTGAAAGAAAAGGCTTTTAACAAAAAATTAACATTCTTTCTGCATGTTTTTTTTCTTTCCTTACTTCACTATGCCTACACTTCCAGATTGGCTTTGTACTTTCTCTGCATGAAATCATATCTAGTCTATGCTAGTCTAAAATTGTGGCACTTCCCACCTCAAATGAGCAACCTCCCCTGCTGGGCCTTGATAAAAGACTGCAACATGGGACTTTGGGACATAAAGGAAAGGACCAAAAATGAAATCCTCAATGAAGCCACAAACGCCTCCATGCAGCTTGATGTGAGGATTTTCGCTCTTCATCATTGCCAGGAAAAGGCGTGCTGTGTTGTCCGTCATGTTACTCCAGCACAAATGCCTATTATCAGTCCAAAGAACGTTTCTAACCTTCCCACTTCTCGTGTTGCCTCTCGGCGTGTGGGACGTCCTCTTGATCGGGGCTGTGAATTCATTCTTCTCTTTTGTCTCATTTTGTGAATGACTTGATACAAGTCAATAGTGTCATCCGTTGGGAACAGAAGGCAGAGCTGGTTTCCACAATCTGTTTCAATTTCCTGAAAAAAAAAAAGTAACTAGTTAGCACACGGACACTACCATAGACCAAGTTTTAAAAAACCTGACTCTGGTCTCACATCCAGTTTGTTGCCAAATCCTGTAGATTCCAACTTAAAAACATAGCCTGCATCCGCCCCTTTCTTACACAAGATGCTACCAAGGAGCTTGTCCATGCTCTAGTAATTTCCAGCATGGATTATTGTAACCCTCTCCTGATTGGTCTCCCCAAAAGCCGTATTGTCCCGCTACAGTCTAATGAATGCCGCCGCCAGACTGGTTTTCCTCTCTAGTCGGGCCTCTCACACCTCACCCCTCTGACAGTCCTTACATTGGCTCCCTGTATCCTATAGGAGTCAATTCAAAGTGCTAACCCATACATTTAAAGCACTGAAGAATTCTAGCCCCTCATATCTCTTCACAGATCCATAGGGTACGCCCCTCCTTGTTCCCTCCGCTCTGCCCGTGACCACCTCCTGACCGCTGCTCACACCCGTACAGCCAACTTGCGCTTGCAGGACTTCTCACAGGCGGCTCCTTTCCTATGGAATAGCCTGTCTACCCCAATCACTCTCCCCTAGTCTTCAATCCTTTAAGAACCCATCTCTTTAGGAAAGCTTATGGCCTCCCAGACATACCTGTCTCTTGCTCTCTCATATAGGGCAGTGCTTTACTCTCTCCTCCAGCTCTGCTTCACGCCCACCCTATTTGATTGATATTTCCTGTCCTAACGTGTCTTATACCCCACCTCCTGTAGATTCTAAGCTCGTTTGAGCAGGGTCCTCTTCAACCTATCGTTCCTGTAATTTCTTTTTGTAATTGTCCTATTTATAGTTAAAGCCCCCCTCTTATATTGTAAAGCGCTACAGAATTTGTTGGCGCTATATAAATGGCAATAATATATGCAGGGGAGTGTGTGTATTTATATGTTCATAAGCAAATACAAAAATTGTTATAAATTAGCAACTTTGGGAGAGTCTACAGTGGAATCTGTAGATAAAGATTTACTTTATTATGTTTCTGTAAACAGTATGTTGGGGTGTATGTATGATAGATATATATCATACATACACACAAAAATCAATTGGTCACACAGAAAAACAGGCTTACAAACCTATCTGCCTACACATCAACCCTGACATTGTGAAGGTACCCTTAGCTGGTTTGCTTGTATGTCACTCTACAGTTCTTTCTTCAGAGTGCATAGACATGCTGCTGCCTCTCTCTGCATCATTACATTACAGTGGAGAAGGATGCAAGCCAGGTACGACAACCTGCACTATATATGGCTCTATGAGTAGGAACTAGATGGCATACAGTTAGCACAGAACCCAATATCAAAGTCAGGCAGGCTAAGTGCTCCATGTTCAGTTTGCCTGCTTTCAGATTTTCATTAAGTGCTGCCAATCATTGGAAAGAGGTCAGAGACTAGCACTGTACGGAGACTGCTGTATCCAGAACAACCTGAGCAGAAAGAGTTAATTCCTGCATCACACTGTAAAATGTCTCTGCTGGCAGTGGCAAAGTGTATAAGAAACCGCATATACAAGTTTCCTGTGCTCCGTGGCATACTGAAAGCTACCAGCAGTGTTTATATTTGGAAACTGGTAGAGGGTGAAAAACTGTGGGACATATAGAATATCCTCCAGAATTTCAACTTGTTTGAGCAGGCCCTCAACACCCTCTATTTCTGTGTATCCAATTCATCTAGTATCAAATACTTGTCTCTTAGTCCACCTATTTCAGAGCTGCAGAATTTGTTGGCATGCTATAAATATAAAAGAGGTCTGATTTTAAGAATCTAAATAATTAAAGGGACACTACAGTCACCAGAACTAATACAGCCTAAATTAATTTTTCTGGTGAGTATAGACAGGCATTTTGCTGTAAACACTGTCTTTTTCATTGATTTAATGCATGTCTATGAGGAGATGTTGATTGGCCAGGTAAGGATTTGGCCCTGCCCACAAGCCCTTTGGCGATCTCAGCCAATCCAATGCTTTCCATATGTATAAGCATTGGATTGGCTGAGATCATCAATTCTAATGAGGTCAGCCAAAGTAGAGGATCGGTGGCAGGGCCAGCACACAAGAACCCTGCAGCGCTGAAAAAAAGTTTGATGCACATTAAGATAAATTACAGCATGCAGCAGAATACACCATATTATTTGAGAAACGCTGTGTATACCCAAACACACTATAAGTCAAAGGAATTCATACTGCAGTGAACAAGAGCATCTATTCATGCATCTAATGCAAATGCAGCAGAGGCATGTAAGTTGGTTGCATCTAACAGCAAACTGTAGTAGTGGAAAATTTAAGTTTTAGGATACTGAAGAATCTCTAACCTGACCATCTCGTCCAATTTTCACTGGCTTATGTTCATTCCAAGGGTTGGTTAGGTGTGCAGATTTCGTGAAGGGCAATTCACGCCTATTTTAGGAGAAAGATCAACATTCAGAAAACAAACCACTTATGCCACTCGAAATAAGAGGGAAAGAAATACTGGTATCAATGTTAACTAAAACAATCATTCAAGACATTTTTTTAGGACAAAAAAATAAAAAAAATAAAGTCCATGTTCACCTGCATATCCAGTCTATCTTGAATACACCACCAAGCATCTTTGCGTTCATTCCTGCTGGGAGCACCCAGTGGATAGGTGACCCACCATGATGTGATTCTGATGACAAACGCGCAAAACCTGCAAGACACAAACACATGTTAAAGGCGAAGTCACTTCCACGTTCAAATCTTGTTCAAGAGCAATATTTGACACTTATCACACAGCAAGATCTAATCCATACTAAGATACTTAAAAGCAAAGCTCTACACAAAATAGATTTAAATACAAAGCCTATTCAAAATGTAAAAATAAGTTGCACCAAAATTTGGATATCACACGACAGATGGGTTATATTGCCTAAAGTCTCTGGAAGCCGTCCCCCCATTTTATGTCAAACCATGTAGGTGTGGTTAGAAAAACCAAGGGCTCTCCATGGTACCCACAGGCTTATCAGAGACCCACTGCCCCAAGGCTCTCAATGACATCCAGGTTGGATGAAACAGACATCAGTAATAAGGAAGTGTTAGTTCTACATTATCATATAGCATCTAAAAAAAATTCATATAAAATTGTGGAAAGGCTTCCAGAGACTCTAGGCAAACAAATCCACAACAGACTGTTTTAGTTTACAGCCCTTTAAGGTACCAGAAATTGTAAATTTGAAATCTAGATGTGAGCCCTGACATGAATGTAAAGTACCTCACTTCAAGGCCTATGGCCTCAACTGCAGAACACTTCTGGGAGAAGCCAGAGAAGATTAAGGCAGGCACATTAACATTCCTTCAAAGGGTTCATCTAGGGAACAATTCAGAGCTATCCCTCATTTTAACAAAGCTTTTGTTTATTAGTGGCAACCTCTACTCTCTTCCACACCAATTCAATTTCCCTATTTATACTCCATAAATCCATGGATAGCTTACCTTGAAATTTTCCACTTTCTCTAACTGAGAATACCAAGATAACGCTCCTTGCAGCTCTGAAAGCTGCATTTAGCTTCTTCTCGTTTACTGGTAACGTTGACCAAACACCCTGTGTGACAACAGAAATTTGTAAAGACCTCCAATGTAATATTTAAAATGAGTTTTACCAAACTTTAGCTTAAAAGTTTAACAAGATTGAGAAATATGAAACCGGAGGATGAATGAAGAGTGAAGACAGAGTACAAATTGTACGTGATCTAAAAAGTGATCTTTTTACAGGAACAGGACAAAAACATCAAGATGGCTGACTGCTTAGACCATATTGTTATAGTGCATGAAGTGGTAGATGACTTTAAACATGTATAGAAAACAAATTTGATTAAATAAATGAAGTTACCTTTGCTTTAGCCAAAGATACATTCTCATGGTTATTACTCTTGATTAGGAAGAATCTGGCATCTTGAAGAATATAACGAATTTTATTGATACGTTCTGAAAAATGTAAATTCAAACACTAGATTATATTGGTTTCATAAAATAATTCATAAAAAATAAATTAAAAAAATTACATTTGGTGTATCATAAATACAAACGTCAATTAGCAGCTCTAATTCGCACAGATCTAGAGAATAAAGCAAAAAATATAAATACATAAAGGCTTATCTGATGTGCATGCAGACACACCTAAACACATCCCCATTATTATTAATAGTTAATTTTACACATCACTCACATCTACATCCATGCATTCCCAATTAGACTTCATTGAACATGTTTCTTTACAGTATAGTACAGGGCTTGACAAATCAGGTCGCCATGGCGACTAGGAATTTTGTCTGGGTGTGTCAGCCCCTTCAGCACCAGCCACCTTAGGGCGGCTGTGCGGAATGTAAATGGGCGGTGAGGGAGCAGAGCAAGAAGGGGACAGGATGCGAGCAGCCACACTGGACCACAGAGAAAAGATCCACTCCAGCTCTCCCAAAGGTAAGAAGGATGTAAATTGAAATAAAACAAATGATTTGTGAGTGTGCGCGTGCATCAAATCAGTGAGTATGTCAGTAACTGTGTTTAGGTGACCGACCCCCTATGATCGCACGGGTAAGGCGTTTTTACTTCTCTTTTCCAACACCACACCAAACTTGCTGCGGCTGGGTCCCGCTCCATGGCTGAAATAACCATTGGCTGAGTTAATCAAACCTTTGCTTGGAATCAATGCATCTCTGTAAGAAACGTTGAGCGCCTCCATGTAGAGCTAGGAGATGCTGAACGTAGGTGTTGCACACTGTGCAGCACCTAACTAGGAAGCACTTTCTCTGAAAAGCCTGCAGAGACAGGCCATAGACACCAGAATCACTACATTAAGCGGTTCTAGTGTCCCTTTAAAGAATTGTATTTTTGCTGTTGAAAATAAAGATATTCGTAAACATTTTTGCAAAGTCTAAACTAGTTTAAGCTGGCTCCTAGATTCAAAGCAAATTTGTCAAGCCCTGATGTAGTAAACACAGGGACCAAAATAATGCAATCCTGAACACAGGATTACATTGACAGACCAATGCTGCAAAACTAAAAACAGGTTGTGATAAATGCACACTGCAACAGACAAAGAACAGGAGTTTTGAATGCCAAGTTTATATTTCAGTTACTATAAAACTAATTTTAATGGAGGAAAAAAGGAAAACAATTATCAGCCTCTTAATTTTCTTCCATTGCCTCAAACATTTTTTTTTTTGATCTAATGTAATGTTACGCAATATATTTACAAATATGTAAAGGACATCAATGAATCAAGCCTTGGGAAAAACAAGAAAACACATTGGTTTGTCAAATATCATTGAGAACTAGACCAACTAATGAAAAAAGGTAGAAACAGAAATAAACTGGAAATTTATTGGAGTGCGGTCTTAAATAAGTAATTGGTGCATAACGGTCATGAACAATAATGTATAAACTAAAAACGACCGTCCCGATAATGGCAAATCAGAAATGCAAAACATGGACTTTTACACCAACTGACACAAAGTCTCTTTTTAGGCTTCAGAGAATTGTGGAAAAGAAAAGAAGTATAAATTAAATAATACCTTTGCGGACATCACGAACAGAAGAGGGTAATTTTTCGTGCTTCTTTTCTGAACCTGCATTTAGCCAAAAGTACATGTATTCAGGTTTTGCCTTCGGACATACATTTCCAAAACGGCTTTGAACCAATTTTATAAGACATGCCAAAAAATTGCATTAGCACCAGTTTAACATGGGTGCTCGGACATTCTTTACATATGCTTACACATCAAATGTTATGCACTCCAACCAAATGCCTGTTTTTCCACATCTCAAAAGTCTGTTTTTTTAATTCACAAAACATAATGAAACCACCTCCCAATTCCACATATACCATTAGTGTTCTACACAGGATACTCCAAAAGTAAATTGTATCGAAAATAACTAGTTAGTAAGTTTTGTAGCCACGTACAGATCAAAAGAAGGAATGATTCTCATAATGTCCTGAAAAACTGGAATATATACACCTAATGGGATCACAGCTGATGGTAATATGAACCTTTACGTATACAATTTGTCTAAACAAGGGGCTACACTGAAAAAAGTTTCCTTGCAGGAATCTCTCAAAGCAGATGCAGATCGATATATTGATAATCCCACATTTTCTGAGTCAAGCATGAACAACACTAAATGAACCAGTATAAGATATAGGAAAGAAAATATATATATTTATTTTTAAAGTGCCTTTCAAGAAACGTACAATATTCTTAGACATTATGCAAAAGAACAGAGAAAGGATAGTGTGAAACAGTTATTCACAGCCTATTCAATATCAATGTACAGATACTCATGCCATCAGTGATCTATGCCATTTCATCTTTTTAGAATTAATTTACTGTTTGTGGAAGAAATCAGTATGAGCGTCTAAAAAAGGAAATAATACCTGCATAAGAGTCTGATGCAGAACTTCCACTTCTATCAAACACAATTGGAGAAATACCTCTAGCCCTTTTCCTTTCCTTCTTTTTCTCATCTAGAAAATATGTGAAAAGATATTGTAAGCATGGCAGGGGGGCTTGAATACTCCAACAGCCAGGCTCTAATCTAGCAGTTAGGTGGTATTTTCCTCCATGTGGATGCCGTGCATGTTACAAGTTATACTGGGCTCCATGGTTCAACAGATGGGACGGGGAATATCAAAACATAAAGAGGCAACATTCTCACGATGTAGCCATAGTAGCGTAAACAGGCTACGTACAGTCTAAAAATCTATTTGGGTCTATTTTAACGAAAGACGTAGCAACATGCCACCGTAAAAATGTAGTAAATAATAGAACCAAATGGTAGGGAATAGAAAATTACCAAATGTAGACTTGTTGATAAACAAAGATGTCTGCTGCTTCACAAATCTATGCACAATGAGCAGGAAGCAGATTCATACAATTTCAACAGCTCTGTTAATATTAGTCCTCAAATGCCAGATAACTACTTATTTTTCTTCTCTGGTTAATGAGTTGCATATTAACTCAAAACCATTAAAGCAGTTGGGGCTATTCACTACACGCATGAGATTCCGTAAAAAGAAAGTAGAAATGTCCCTCATCTTTTTTCTATGGCATATTCTGAATACTGTGGCACAAACTACCATCACGATCAAGAGTTTGCAACACAAACAGTCATGGCACATTTTATATGGCTGTATCTACCTCATTCAACTATATGTGAAGATACTTTTCAGAAAAAGCAAATGTCATTTCCAATGTTCGCTTCCTCCCCTGTTTCAGTCAGTAGTAACTCACCCTTCATTCTCAAAAGTTGCATTATCACTGCCCACATGAGAAGAGATTTTGATGCTTGCAACAATTGACAGAATCTCTCTGAATGAACATTGGATATGCCAGTCAGATTTACAAAGTACATTTGTCAATGAGAGAAGTGATTTGTGACCACAGAATGATAGATAATCACTTTGAGTAGCCACTGACCAACTGTTATTTTGCCGGTGGTAAAATTATGCAAAAAGTAAAAAAAAAAATAAAAAAAAAAAAAGTGACTATGGACAACAGGTCACTACGAACAAACTTCTTATATAAGTACAATACTTCAAGTTTAATACCAGTCTTATCACTGTAAACTATACTGCACACATACTCCTTTTCCAGTTAATTACTGTTTAAAAGGTTGTTCACGTCAACCTCACATCAATGGATTTCAAATAATGGGAAGCATGATTATGTCTGGATTAAAAGAACATCCATTTAAGGAGATACTTAAAGCACAAAAAAATATTTAGCTTAATGCAGTGGTTTTGGTGCAGCCTCAGTGCTCCATCCACTGCCATTTAGGCCTTAAAAGACTTTCTGTGCAGCTCTAGTCACACCTCCCCTGGCTGTGACACTCACAGCCGTAATAATAATTAAAAAAAAGGCTTCATGTCAATCAGATCTTACAGCACAGTGTGTTAACTTTGTGCACACGTTCTTCTCTCCTGCTGTGTTCATTTTAATTTAGTCACAAACAGGAGGATGTTGTGGGCTCAAGCATGCTATTAAAGGACCACTATAGTGCCAGGAAAACACTTGTTTTCCTAGCACTATAGTGCCCTGAGGGTGCCCCCACCCTCAGGGACCCCCTCCTGCCTGGCTCTGAGGAGAGGAAAGGGGTTAAAACTTACCTTTTTCCAGCGCTGGGCGGGGAGCTCTCCTCCTCCGATCCTCCTCTTCTCCTCCCATGCGGCTAGCTGCACGCGCATTCAGCCGGTCACATAGGAAAGCATTATCAATGCTTTCCTATGGACGCTTGCGTGCGCTCACTGTGATTTTCACAGTGAGAAGCACGCAATCGCCTCTAGCGGCTGTCAATGAGACAGCCACTAGAGGAATTGGGGGAAGGCTTAACCCATTCATAAACATAGCAGTTTCTCTGAAACTACTATGTTTATAAAAGAATTGGTTAAGCCTAGCTGGACCTGGCACCCAGACCACTTCATTAAGCTGAAGTGGTCTGGGTGCCTAGAGTGGTCCTTTAAACATGCCTCACCCTTCTGTCAGTCTCTACATTGGCTTCCAGTAAGATATAGGGCTCAATTAAAAAAATTCTGGTTCTTGCTTTCAAATCTCTACATAATGCTGCTCCCGCCTATTAATCCTCCCTAATACACAAGTATGTCCTGTCTTGGCCCTTACAATCTGCTGAAGACTTGCATCTATCTTCTGTCCGTACTCCCACCTCTGATGCTTGCCTTCAAGACTTTGAGGGCTGCACCGTTCCTGGGGAACTCACTTCCCTCTTCCGTTAGATGCGCACCCAGTCTCCACTCCTTCAAAAAAAATCATTAAAAACCCACTTCTTCATAAAAGGGTATCAATTAAACTGTTAATAGCTCCTGACTGATTCCTCTCTTGCAATTGTCATTAGTCTAATACTATCCTTACCTTTTGTGTCACTTTACCCCACTCCCTCTAGCATGTAAGCAATGGGTGGTTGTGATTGGTCAGTGTGTAATCTCTGCCTCAGCCACACCTTCAGAAGGGGCAGGGCTATGCTTGAAAATTGATTTACTCTGACACTAGTGATAGTGCCAGAGGACTCAAGACACTATAATCAGTTTAATGAGATGACATGGTTATATTAAAACACTATGAAAAATACAGGAAGTTTGCATAGAGGCTGTGTGAGTCACAGCAAGTGAAGGTTGTACAAAGTGATTTAACTCTTAAATTGCAGAACACTTGAACAGTGATACTGCAGAGCCATGATCTATACACCAAAACAACTTGATAAGTAAAAGTTGTTTGGTGCTTAGTGTTCTTTTAAACAGGCAATCATATAAGAAATCCTACGTATATTAAACAGTAAGTCTCTTAATCAAAAAATATGTGAAATAGTACTTCCATATGCCTATTCAACATTCCAAAGCACTGGTGCAATAATCAAAGCCAAAATAATAATGGGAAAAATAAATCCACCCCCCCCCAATTCCTCGATGTAATTAAAACAAAAATATGGGTTAAAAAAAAAAAAAAGACACTAAGTGTATGGTAATAGTTTCATCTCACTGAAGAGATTATAGCATCTGAACCTCCTTGACTCCATTCTCTCCTTCAAAGTTAAACTTTTTTTAATGTTAAATGATAGTCCCCAGCAGTTCATCCTCTGTGATGCTTGGGCAAACGAAGGAGCATTAGCATAAGCAGCAGAGGGTGGCTGAGAGTGCAAGCTGTCGTCTATCAGCCTATCACGCTGTCCATTGCAGGTGTGGGTTTGTATTGCTAGATGGAAGTGTGTAATTTTTGTCTTAGTGGGGGCCAGGCTACGGTTAGTAAGGTACGCTTATTTAATGGTAAAGGGACACTGTAGGCACTGTAACGACTTCATAGAATTAAAAAGGTCAGTGTTTTCAGTCCCCTGGTACTTTCTTTTAGCATTTAACAAATATTTTCATGTTTTAAGAGTAAGTAAAGGCAGTGTTTACATTGCTGCCTAGTAACAGCTCTAATGGCAGTCACTCAGACGGCCACTAGAGGTGCTTCCAATCTCAGCGCTGCAGCGTCTCCACTTGCATGGAGGCACTGAATGTTCCCCATAGAGATGCATGATGGGGCATGCGGATTAGTGCAGTGCAAAGTTTTGCTGCGCATGTGCAACAGTTTACCAATGCTTTCCTGTGGGAAAGCATTTGATTGGCAGATATCATCAAAATGAGCTACAGAAGTGTGGCCAGCTGCGGCAAGGGAGAAAGGGAGAGTAAATTCACCTTTTCAGAGCGATCTAAAGACGACAGAAGCCCTAAACAGCCAGACAAGCACAATACATATGCCAGACACTTTAGTGTTCTTTTAAACATACTTTTTCATTATCCCCTTTTAACAAAATTGGATACTCTAGGCATCATAATCACAATATGGTTTATTTTAAAATATATTTTTAATCTAAAAATCTCTTAAGTTTACAAAAAATGTTTTCCCCCTTCATGACACAACAGTATTGTGCACTCTTGGACCGAACATATTACCAAATTAAATTCTTATTATGTAATGGGAAATAACCAAGTTTAACCTGGGGATGTTTATCCATTGCTCAGACCAAGATTTGCTGTGTACTGCGGTAGGCGTAAGGACCCCAGTAGATATATTTCTAACTACCAGCTTTAGTTTCCATTATCTGTGTGCTTGCTAAAAATGCTTGGTCTCTGGAGAAGCTGGCTAGTATCAAAGTAAACGCTACTCCACAAAGAGCTTTACATTATGTGTGCTTTTGGCAAAGAGACACTAAAGACTCTGAAGTGTTGATAAACCGCCATGATTCCTAGGAGACACTTCTAAGGTGCATTTAATACACAATATCTGTAACAAATTACACTCTACTAATTTTAACTTATGTGGCTAAAAGCTACCATCTTAGCAGGTTAGAGAGGAACTACAAAGAAAAGTGTCCATTTCAGTTACTCTACGTCAACAATGCTTTGTTTACTTTATTAATCCTGATTAGCTATAAGTAAGAATATATATTTGGATGTTTAATTCATTAAGCACCAAAGGGCTGAGCAACAAACCCTCTAAAAACAATACACTGGTATTCATGAAGATGTATCCTGAAAACAACCCAGCCCCCAAAAAATACAACACACGTATGTATGTATTCCTCATTCCATTGTTGGGACAGACTGATCCAGATGACTTGCCTAATTAGATGCTCGGAGGTTGAATCTGAATCCTAGAGACAGAATGCATTTTTTTTTTTATGGGAAGCACTGGATCCAATGCTTCACATATTGAATGCATGATAATGCATGATGTCAAATTTCAGTTTTTGAATTGGTTTGTGTTGAATGCCCCTAGTGACTCTCCAGCCACTAGCAGGAAGTTAGAAGATATTTTTGAAATACTTACATTGACTGTGTTGAAATTTCACTGAAAGATATTCTAAAACAAAATAGGAACTTACGTTGTCTTAGAATATTCCCTATCCTTGACAAAAGGTGGAGCTGCAAAGGTCAAGTTTTATTTCCCCCAGCAATTACCAGTAATGGCTGCAAGGAAAAAAAGCTATGTTTATGGAGGGTCCTGTAGTCTTGTGTGATCCTTCAAAGAAATCAGTGTTGTAATCTTTTCATGCGTGAGAATACAACACCAACATGCCTTCTGGCAGATGAAGCGCCTGGAGCTGAAGAGGATTGACTGCATGAAAACAGCAGAGGCTAACAGGAAAATGGTTAGGCCACCGGATACCAAGCAGAGCAATCACCACCAGAGGTGTTTGCGAAATATGCAAAAAACCCAGATGGTGGCAGAGCCAATTAAAAAAGAAAGAAGGAGCATATTATATATCATCATGATGATGGATACATCTCAAAGTGTTTTGAGTTTAACTACACTACTAGCTAAATAGAATATATAAGTGTCAAAGTGAGGTGGGTTGCACAGTATTGTATGGTCTCCCTGTATATGGACTTCCTTGGCCACCAACTACAGGCTTATGAATAGCCATCAAAATTATCATTCAGCCACAACTATAATAGGATACCAGTTTTCCCGAGCTTTGTTTAGTAAGTTTACAAATTTATGAGAAACATGTATCTTTCCCATATCTCTACTCCACGCTATTGGAGACTCTGCTCTACAAAGAGGGTAAAGTACCACATTTCTATGGAAAGTTTACGAAGATCAATATTGCATATTTACTACGTATACCTACCCACACATGCAAAGTAGACATAACTGCTGCTCCTGTCACTCTTTTTACCCCCTCAAACAACTCATGAGTGTTCTGAACATTCAGTCATTAGGAGGACTTCAATTTGCTCAATAAATAGCATGCCATGCACACAGTACTGCTACATATTACTCAGTGGGGAAGTTGTCAAACATGATTGGAAGGAAACGTGTGGGCATTTAATTTTTTCAAATAAAATAAGTCAAGAACAGGACTAGTAGAAAAAAATCCACAAGAAACTGATAAGTTACTCCAGTCATAAACACTACAAATCTTTTGTATTTAATTAATAAACAAAAACACACGGTATTTACCTGAAAGGTCTGAGCCAGATCCAGACCGAATAGAGTCGCCATCTGTAAAAGAGGCAGAGTCAGACTCTGAGTCACTGGCCTCGCTGCGTGTATCATAATCATTGCCATCTCTTTGGTCTCGTTCTTGCTCGTCCTGATCATAGTCCTCATCGTCCTCTTCCACCTCCTCAGCTTCTTCTCCCTCATCCTCCTCCTCTTCCATTACTTCCTCTTCGTTTTCACTGTTACCTTGTTCAGAGGAGTCACTACTTCCAGTTTCCTGATCTGAACCATAGTCTTCAGAATTTCCATCATTAGAGGAGTGACTAGACCTGCTCTGTCTTCTGCTCGTCTCATGTCTTATTTTCTAAGTAAAATATTGTGGAAAAATAGATCAGATTTGTGATAGATATGTATTCTTGCCTCTTAAATCACTATCTTTAACAGCTAAAGAAACTCCTACACCCACAAAACAATACCAGTTTACGCACACATTGTGCTGGCAAAATAAAGAGATTAAACGATATGCATACCTGATAACTTACGTCTTATGCAAGATATCGCTGGACAATGATGTAACAGTGCAACAACTCCTTTTTAAAGAGTGTGCACAGCATTACAGAGTGAGCAGAATTTTCAGTAGTCACATTAATTTCCATTATCATGTGCCAATCTACAGATTTAATAAGTAGTATTGCACCCACAGGTACATTTTCAGACAGCGAAGATACAGCACTTGATGTAAATCAGATTAGGTCAGAACACATGAACAATGAATACCAACAAAATATAAAATGTAATTTAGTAATCTTATAGTATGCCACCTGAAGAACATTAAATTAAATGAGGATACAATAAGAAATGTATAATGTTACTAATGGCTACCCCAAAATGATTCCCACCTGGATGGTAATGCTATGGGATTCTCCACTAATCAGGGGCATTATAAGCTTGTTCCCATCAGCAATTGGGATGATTACTTTTATTATTGTGTTAAATTCCAACTGAAATTCCAATGCAATACACAGTCACAAGAAAAAGAAAGTACACCCTCTGTGAAGTCTATGGGATTACATATCAGGACATAATCATCTGCTCCTCAGCAGCTCTTAAAATTAGTTAATACGACCTCAGATGAAAAGCTGCACTAAATCAATGCATCTCTATGAGGAAAGTTCAGTGTCTCCATGCAGAGGGTGGAGACACTGAATGGCAGCACTGCTCCAGTGGCGGTATCCCTAGGCTGGCATGTAAACACTGCCTTTTCTCTGAAGGGGGAAAAAGTGTTTACTGCAAAAAGCCTGAAGGGAATGATTATACTCACCAGAACAAATTCAATAATGTAGTTCTGGTGACTATATTGTCCCTTTATGCTGTCAGACAGATGGCCTCATATTTGACTCTAGAATACTTTGGTAAACAGAGGATTTCATGGTTGACACAATGACTGCAAGGTTTTCAAGGTCCTGAAGATGCAAAACAAGTCCAAATCATCACTTCACCACTGTGTTTGGCAGCTGGTATGAGAGGTTTGTGCCAATATGCTATGTTTGGTTTTCGTCAAATGTGGTGCTTTGCATTATGAATTACCTCTGATTGTATTTCTGGAGTAGTGGATTTGGTCACCCTGTCTGATTCTCGCTTTCTCATTCCCATCTTATCCTGTGGCCCTTTAAAAGCCTCACGCATAGTACTGCCAGAGTGACGTAGTCGACGATCTCCATCGGACCTCCTGCTCCGCTCTTGCCTATGGAAATCATCGTTCTTGTAGTCTGGACCTGGTTTTCCTTTAGAGGTAGCAATTCTTTTATTGCTCCCTGAAGACACTCTCTGTGGTTGCTGCCTTGAAACGTGTGCAGATTGTTTTTGTCTCTTCGGTTCACTCATATCAATTCTGTCACTTTTTCTTTTGGATCCTACAGAAAACAATAGGATTAAGACACTAGCAGTCACTTGATTAACATTTTACCTAAATGCGGCTAGAGAGTTCCGAATAGTACTCTTTAGAAAAAGTATGTAAGTACAGGGATGTGGAATTTGTTTTAACATCTACTTGTCAGAGGGATTAAAGCAGTAGCCCTATCTACTTCGCCTGTTATCGCAATCTACTTGTCTTATCAAAACAAAATATTTCTGATTGTGGCACCTACAAAGAGCACTGGACACTGTCAAGTTTACTCCCTAATCTCCAAAATTGTTGAAAATCAAATCCAAAATAAAAATTAAAAAAGAAGTTCACTTGGAAATATTCTCCAGCTAAGCTAGAGGAACAAACTTTTATTTCAAGTTGCGTTAAGTGATCACCTTTGGCTCCCCATGTAGCATGCGTGTGGTGACTGTAAGGTTGCATGTAATGCTAGTATGATGTTTTGCTGGCTTTGAGTAGTTTGACTTTTATTGGTATTGAGTAATGTCTTTGTGCTCCGTTCTGCTTACTCTTCTCCCTAGAGGGGGCTATGATTAAACCACCTGGGTCCAATGAGGAAGCTCTGGCGTGTGCAGAACATAGTAATTGCTCTCTCCCGCTTACTAACGAGTAGGGCATGCTGGGAATCCCGGTAGCCACAATCCAACTCACTAGTGAGTACTGAGACCTCGAGGTGGAGGTGCATACCATATGTTTTCTGCCATGGATCTACACTTCCCAGAATCTCCAGGAACAGCCATCCACTAGCTAAAGCACCCGGGTGACATGAATTCCACACCCCTGACGTAAATTGAACGCTATTACAACAACTTAATGACAAATGCAAGAGGTAAAATAAATAAATCATTTATACCTTTTTTCTCATTCACATCTTGCTCGCTTTCAGGGTTATACAGTTCATCATCTTGATCTGGTGCTTCAGTTAAAATATCATCCAAGACATTAACTTCCCCATCTTAAAGAAAAAGACAACACATATCTACTGTGTAAGATAAAAAAACAAACAAAAACAAACACTGAAATTATAATACAAATATGACAAGTTAGGTTTATGATGGTTTACGGCAACAATCCTACCATCTCCCATCACCGTTTCCTTGACTTGTTTAACTTTAGTTGGAGGATGTATATTTTTAACTTACTTTTATATAGTAATTTCATTTTACTCTTTAAACAATATGAAGCCTCAAGGAATGCAAAACTCCATATTTTGACAAGCATTCATTTTGAAAAATAAAAAGGGTGGGGGTGGGGGGGGGAGATTGATCACACTCGTGCCA